TCCTGGAGAGTTTGTGATCTGCCTGCTGAGAATATAGTAGTAAGCAGAGTGCATAAGAAAGAGGATACCATTGTTCCAATGGGTGGGAAACGAATACAGCTGAAGCCTCTACTCTCAAAATGAAGGTGAGATCAGCAAAATATTACCTGAGATTTTAACAAACTAAGTATGTTGCACAAAGGAAAGTAATTAAAAGCCCATCTCCTTGACTGCATTGAATTCGGAGACCCTGAGCTTTGAAAGTCTACAAGTCAGTTTCACAGAGAAAAATGTTTGGCTGAGAAAAGATGCTAACACTCACCATTTCCAACAGCCTCCCAAGAACCTCTCCAGGCTCCTTTCTCGCTGGCTACTGGCTTGTAGCTCCCATTGTAGGAACACCCAACTGGAGCTGCTGGAGAGGCAGGGCGAGAGGTGGCTCTGAGAGAGCCTTGGCCAAGCCATGTATGGTCAGGGGAGTAGCCAGGCCCTCAGCCCATCCCTCGAGAAAGATGGGCTCTGTCCCTTGGACACTGCATGCGGCTCAGGTCTTCTATCCTCTTTGTCTTTATTTTCTGGCCTTCTTACTTTCCTGGCAGTGTCATCTCAGCAAAGAAGCCCCCAGCTGGCCTGAGAGATTGGAATCTCCCACAGCTGACCACTCTCTAGAAACAATGGGTCATACAGGCTGAGGCTGGCCACTCGGTCTCCAGCTGAGAGGCATGCCCATGCTCTTGGCCATGAGGACAGTGACATGTCACCCGCTCACTGCAGGGGATGGCTGTGGGATGTGTGTGCTGAGCTCACTGCGTCTGGGGCAGGCAGGGGCAAGGCCGCCACAGTGAACAACTCTGTGGTCAGTCAGTGGCCTGATGCCCAAGTCCTCATCGTTAAGTGAGAATCTCCAAAAGCTCTGACTGCTGTACAGTTTATGATTTATCATGAACTTGCTTCTTTAAGATAGCAAGTTGCCAGCAAAACCAAATTATAACTAATAGTGCTGGCCATTTAAAGAAAACCATCAAGAGAGGAGCAAAGAGAGTTGTAATGAGAAGAGCAGCTGAAATGATGAGGGAGGTCGCTGCTTTAGATGATGCCACGGGAAGCTGAACGTGGACAGTCTGAAGAGGACAGATGCGTGAAGGATCGAGGGAAGAAAGACGCAGGCGTGGTATGCTCTCAGAACCGGAAGGAGGCTGCTATAGCTGTAACAAAACCAAGGAATGACCCAGAACTTAAAGACAGAGTGGATCTGAGGCCTGATGATTCAGGCCCAGCAGAAGACAATGAGATTTTTTTTTCATCCCTAGAACAAGGGGAAGCCCTTCAAGGGTTTTAAGTGATAAGAAAGCATGATCAAACCCTACTTCAACATTTGGAAGTATGTTTTCTACTGGATGTGTGTCACTTTTACACCTGTTGTAGTGTTGTTTTTTTTTAAGTCATTAAGTCCAACTATTGTAAGGTGGGGACCGTCTGTATTGAGCCTGATGCTCATCTCCTTAGAAACAGTAGAAGGAAACACTTTAGTGGGCAAGTGGTTGAAGACACCAGTGGTTCTCTGATCATTTATATCTCTCCATCATTTAAATTGGTACAAGTCCAGCCACATCAATGACTGGCAAGACCCCCCAACTTGGCCAGCTTGGAGCACTCTCAATGACTACTAGCTACAATGGTCTTTCGGGGCTGCTACATTGAACATCATTGCCTGGACATCTAACAGTAACTAGGTGTCTTCTAAACACAGCTCTGGAGTCCCAGTTCAAGGCTCCAGCAGGTTTGGTGTCTGATGAGGACCTGCTACCCGCCTCACTTACAGGCGTGTTTTTGCTGGGTCCTCACAGGGGAGAAAGGGCAAGGGGCGCTCTGTAGTCTCTTTTATGGGGGCATAAATCTCTCATAACCTAATCACATCCAGAGGCCCATTTCCTAATACTGCTGCATTGGGTTCTAGGACTTGAGTTGATGAATTTTAGAGCACATAAATGCTTCTGACCTCAATGGCCTTGTTCTGTTTTCTGTGTCCTTATCTAAAATGTCAGTAATGAAAGTAGTAAAGAAATAAATTATTAAACAGGACCATGATCACTTCCCTACTGTAACATCACTAGTAAGAGCCATTAATGTCATGCGCCCAATATTTCCAGTTTACTTTGTTCTTATCTGAAGTCAAGCATAGCCATATAATGTGCTTTGGTCAGTGGAAGGTGAGTACAATATGCTACCCTGTATTAATAACCTGTATTAATAACCGGTGTGATCTGTCATCTTCCTTGTGTCATGCATGCTCTAGATAGTACCACTCTGTCAGCCTGGTTATAAGGATACAGTAAAGAGTTCCCAGACAACTAGATAAAAAATATAGTGTGGGCAAGAAATAAATCTCTTCAATGTGAAATTAATGAGAACTTGGGTTGTTTGTTGTTGCAGCATAAGCTAACCTCTACTCACTGATACATGAACATTTATAAGCTCACAAACTCCATGGTGAGGATATCTATCATCTATCATCATATATCTGTCTGTCTATTTCTCACCTATCTTTCTACTTACATATCATCTAGTTAGTCTCTCATCTACCTACTTACCTAGTTTACATAGACATCTCGATTAAATACTAGTGGGCCCCAAAATGTGGTAACTGTGAGAAGGCCATCTTTAGCTTATTATAGTTTTTTGTTGTTTGAAGACAATCTTGCTACATAGTCCCAAAGGGCCCTGAACTATGTAACCCAGGCTGGTCCCAAACTCATGATCCTCCTTCCTCAGCCTACCAGGGGCTGAAATGACAGATTTACACCACCTTACCAGGTTGCTTCTGTTTTCCTAAGTCCATTAGGAACTCTGTTCTGGAGCCAGGCATTTGGATTCTCATCAGAGAGTTGTAAACTATTATCAGGAACACCCATGTTGTCTGAAGTAGTAACACAGACCCAGGACACATCAATAAATCACATTCTTTAATGAAACCACCCTTTCTAGACAGGCATATAAGCTCCTCTCAATGTTCTCTTTGAAACTGACATTTTATGGAATGACTCAAAATAAAGAATATCTTATATTTATAGATAACACTTTAAACGATTTTTTAAAAAGAAATCTTTTAGGCATTTTGGTATTATTATTCAGAAGTTTAGTCTATAAAGCAAACTTTTAAAATATCTGGTGGAAGCCAAAGGAACATTCATTCCTGAAGTGAAGAAAAATGTTACCATATCCGAGGGCTCCCACGTTGCCCAGACTGATGGGAAACCTCCCAAGTGCTAGTTAACTGTGTTGAGCCAATTAATTTACTAAGGCAGAGAAATTTGCAACTATCATGAAACTTTAGAGAGAAATAATGAAACAGAAAGAAATAGAAGGAAACTTTCAGAGGAAAATAGAGATTATAAATGAATCAATGCACACACACACACACACACACAGCCTTGCTTCATCTATTTTGGAGAGATCTGATTGGCCCACATGAATTCCAGATCCTTCTTTGCCCTGGGATGCTGGTTCTAGCTTGTGCTAGATCACAGTATACTAGAATTTGACCAGGATGGAGACCCAGACCCCAGCTACTTCATTAGGTTATATGTGTGAACATAATTGCTTTGGGGCATTGAGATATCGTCAGGTCCTAGCACCCAGTTAGACAAAGCAAGCGGAAAGAGGTACTCCAACCCCTTCATTTACTTCTGGGGATGTTTCTAGGCAGACCACTGAGCAACTGGAAGAGCCAAGGTAGGAGTCTGGTCTTTCTGCTCAATGAACTCTCCCTTGTGAGGCCAGCTCTGGTGTTCCTTGCAGGACCTGTGTGGTGCATAGATCCCTGTAGGTTCCAGACTAGGCCCAAGCAGCCTCAGTTGAGTCAGAGCTCACAGCTCTGAGGCTACATCACTCACAGGCCTAAACAAAGGTCTTTGTAAGAGTCCCATTGTTGCAGATGGGCCGTGTGGTGACAACTGGTGGAAGCTGTGGGTTTCTGGAAATGTCCCTCCTGCAGAGCAAAAAGAAGCCTCTGTGTGTTATGAAGGCAATGAACGCTGAAACTGCTTCTCCCTCACGACTGCCTCCCTGTCCATCTTCTTTGGACTTCTAAAGGTTAAATGTACAGAATTTTCCTCTCCTGGAAAAGGGACTCTTAGCAACCACCGGATGCATCCAGGTTTCAGTTTCAACTTGGACAGACAAAATGGAACCTCAGAAAACACCGAGATCAGAGAAATGGGACCCACAGGAACAGGAAGATGGATCTGACCCAGGGGAGACGTTGCTCTACTTGCCATATCAAAGTTCACCCTGAGCAGAGTGGGCCATCCATCCAGACATGAAGACGGAAGGCGAGCCTCAGTCCAGGGCTGGGATAGGCTGGAGAGAGCTCAGGAGGAGGTGGGCAGAACATGTGGAGCCAGCACTGGAAGCTGGGGCCAGAAAGCTACCGCCAATGGGTGGCATTTTTCACACTGCTGTGATTTAAGGCTTTGACCACTGATCCTTTACATCCATACACATATACACATATATTATTATAACTTTGATTTTTTTCTGTTTTGAGAAAAACTTATTCCCATGTCTGTCTGTCTGTCTTTCTTTCTTTCTCCTAGTTTTATTCTAGGTTTTACTCCCAGCAATCACTTTTAATTTGAAACAGTCTTCTGGCTACAAAGTCTGATCTTCACAAACTATAACCCTTAGCCTTTCACAAACACCTTGTTTAAAATGATCCTTCATTCCCAAAGGAATTCAGGAGCCTGGGAGCTCACTGGAACCACTCATGTGCTGCCCTGTATTCAAATGCAACTAAACAGGACTTCTGGCTATGTAAACATTACTGTAAAATTATTCCAACATAAATATTCTTTTAAAAGCTAACATACCACACAGCTTTGAGCTTATAATGCCCATAGATGCCTTAATGAAATGCCATTCAAAACAACCTCCTTGCTTAAGTTATACCTTGAGGTATTAAAATTACGCAAATATCATCTCTATTTCTCTAGAACAAGTGCCAAGGCTGGTGGGCCTCTAACTTAAAACGAACAGTGTTCACCCCACCAGGACCTGCCCTGGTCCCTCCTAAGATGTGTTTGCACGTCTTGCAGATGCACTTTGCCCTGGCGGTCAAGGAACTGAGGATCACCCCAGCAGTTGCTGCCATTGCTGGAGGTTATCTGGAAGCCAGTGGGAGCCCAGGCATAGATGGTGTCTTCTCAAAGTCAGCGATGGGAAGGAGTATCAGGAAGAGTCAAGACATTTTCTTTTTGGCAAACAAGATTCCCAGCAGCAAATGTTCTGCTGGGATGTCCAGTGGAGGCCATAATCCCTAATGTAATTAGGGATAAGGGAACCCAAAGGGGTCAAAGAGGCAGAGGAAAGGCAAAGGTCTTCCAAGGTCATGATGATGACTCTCATGTTTGCGCTGTAAGCAGCTACCTTGTCCTCTACCGCTCTTTGTCCTCCACGTTCCTAGCTGACATGTCCCTGGCAGAGAAAAAGCAAAACTTCCTAGCCAGTACTGGGAGTAACAAATGAGCCACAGCCACATGATCCTCATTGCCCAGTGCAGACAGAAGACAGGCTGTATCTCCAGGATCTAGTCGCACGGCAGGCATCTATGGAAACGTATCTAGAACAGTGGAATGACCAGCCCTTAGCTGGCCTGTTGCCCCATAGGAGCAAGGGACGGACAATGAGAATGAACAAGCATAGCTTGCGTGGTCAGTGACTTCAAACCTTTACCTTCTGAGGCCCGTGAGTGCTAACATTATAGCTGGAACCAAGGGAACACTTTTCTCTTTCATTTTGTGGGCCAAACCCTTAGGTAACTTTTGTCTAACTACATACCTTCCAGATTGGATTTTAAGTTTTTGTTTGAGAAAAAGACTGTACACTGTTTGGGGCTGGCTCTCAAGGTGCTATGACAAAGCCCTCCTCAGTTCCTGTCTTTCTACAACTTGGGCCTTCCTATTTCATGTGCAGAGCATCCTGAAACTTGGTGCTGGTATATTGGGCGTGGAAACCTTTCTTGTTGATGGTGTCGTCTGTGTGGAATCGAATCATCAGGGAGTCCCCTGCAGAGTAGATTTCTTCTAATGGCTGAGGAGAGGAGAAAGGAAAACCAGAGAGCATTAGGCAAGTTGTCTGTGGTTGGAGTTTAAATCAGAACAGGACAGTACTCAACTTGAGGACACAGGATGGCTGATGGTACAATGAAGCATCCCCAACGCCAGAGGCTCTGAGGGACATCCAAACAACTCAATGCTTTCAAAGGAAAGCACCGCAAAACTCTTGCTCTCTAGGGCTCTGTGGGTCTTGCTTCTCCATAGAGGATCCAAGATGCATAGCGCACAGAGTCTACCATGCACCAAGTGCACAGGTGGGCCAGGCCTGCCCTCCCTTATCTCAAAGAAGCTTTGCAAGCACTCTGTAAGGCAGCCGCTACATCCATGGCCCTGCTGAGCAACCTGAGACCCCAGATCACAGACAGAGGTGAGAGCTGGCTCAGAGCTTTCTGACCAGGACTCCCAGGTGCTTTGCCCATTACCATTGGGATGTGTCTCCCAAGAGACCTTGAACAAGGGTCAGGTCTCCGTCCCAAGGAGGTCAGGAAGATGGCAGAGCTGCTGTGTTTGTTGGAAAGGTTATGCCAGGCACTCTGGGAGTGGGAATCACGCTCCCACTGCTGTCTGCTGGGTCCTGGCAGAGACAAGGAACTTCCCATTCAGGACCTCCAAGGGATCCTGTCCTTGGATTGCACAGCTTCAAAAGCTTTATCCAACCTCCAACTCCTGTTTCCCACTCTAGTGCCAGCAAGTGGCAGGGGCAGCAATGGCTTACACGCCCAGGTGTCAATCTGGCTATTTAGCACCCCCCCCACCTCTGGGTGCGACTCACCCCTGAGCCACAGAAGCGGCCAAGCCTGGGTGCTGAGCTGTCATAGCCATCGTAGGCCTCCATGTAGTCATAGCCACACTCAGCCTCCTCCTCCACTTCGAAGGTCCGGAAGATCAACTCCACGCCATAGCCATCCTCCGCTACTATCACCCAATCACAGCGGGCCTGGCTCGGGTAGTTGTTGTCCCCAAACTGGGCGTGGGAATAGAGCTCTTTGGTCTGTACTTCGGCCTTCAGCCTGCCCCCACACTCTGGGGCAGAGAGAGGAAGAAGACATACCCTCAGTCCCCAGAGCCCTGGTGCCACCCCACCTGCTTCCTGCCAGCTGCTCTGCAGAGCCCCTACACGAAGTCCTGTCCTCCCATTTCACAGAGGAGTAAACAGAGGCAGGACGTCTGAGGTCAGCACTCCCCTGGGGGGCTGAAATCAAACTGTCCATTAGAAGCCAATCTCCTGTTTCCAATGGGGCCACGCAAGGCCTCCCAGAATCCCTGAGCATGCCACTGAAAAAGGCGGGCTGCTTTTTTTCTCTCCCCATTTAAGGGGGAATGGGGCTGATGAATGGCTTGCCTGACCACTTGCTGGGTCTGACAAGTTAGGCCAGTACAGGAAGCAGAAGGGCTCACTCAGGCCGGCCTTGACTTGGTGTAATGTGACATTGCTGCCACCAGAGGGCACCTCAGAACCACAGGTAGCCCCATAGGAGAAACCTCAGCGTGCTGGTCTTGCTTGCTCTTGCATTTGAGAAAACCTACTACAGGCTGAGGTGGGGGTCACAGGGGCGTGCACCTCAGAGTTCTGGCTGCATCCTTCAGCCATGGCTTCTGAATTTTATTATTTTTGTTTGAATTTGTGTACATTTGTAACATCAGAGGGTCGGTGGTGATGCTTCTGTCCACACACATGCACGTTGCACTTTGAACAAACTCACTCCCCGCCTCCATGTTCCCATTTCTGCTCTTCTTCCCCTTTGCAAACAGTGTTGGTGGGTATTGTGCTGTGTGTGTGTGTGTGTGTGTGTGAGAGAGAGAGAGAGAGAGAGAGAGAGATCCTTTGATTCTCTTAACCCCTCAATACCCTCTTCCCTTGCCTTGCTGGTCCCTTCTTGGACAGACCCTCAGTTTACACTCATGACCCCTGACCATTTTACTGGAACATCGGCTCAAGTTGGCCTGGGGCGTATACCAATGTGTCTGTAGGCCACCTCAGTGCACATGGATAAAATGGATAAAGGAGTCTGATCTGGACAGGGAAGCCCTTGAGATTCTGGAGGCAGATTCCTCCATTCCTCCTCCCCAGTGTGCTACACAGCACCCGACCCTCCACCTCCAGGAAGGGAGTGTCCCAGCAGCGCGAGTGCCCCATGCTGTGGGTTCTGAGCACTTCCAGGTTTGGTTCACATTTCTAGGCACTGATGGAGCTACATCCCCAGCTGGCCCCAACCCTGCTGCACTTGAAGCTCTCCTATGCTTCCTTCCCCTGGCCTGGAATTTCTTCTAGATCTGACCTGTCTTTGGGAAATTTCCAGTTTTCTGAGCCCCAGATGGAAATAAAATTAGCACAGAACACAGAGTAATGCAAGAATGCTCCTTCCTTACCTGCTGGGGCCCCAGGGGGCTGAGCTCAACTTTACCTACACCCCACCAGCACCACTGGGCTCTGAGCACCAGCTCATCAGAGTGAGGGAGAAGCACTTAGTCCCCAGCACCTTCCTTGCTGGTCAAGCAGCTTCCAGAAGTCCTCATTTGGGCCTGGGGTGATTACAGCCTCCTGGTTCTATAACCTGTGGCTGCCCAAACCTTGGAGGTGTCCCCACACACCACGCAGCCCTTTATAAACAGTGCCTTTATCACATTCACCTCAACAATTACCTTTACATCCAAACAACCAAGAGTGCCCCCAATTTCCTGCTGGGACTCTAGGTTACCTCCAGTACTTGATCTCTGGCTGCATGCACAAGACAGTGAGGTCACTACTCAGTGGCCTTTAAACTCCTCTGGGGAACACGCCATGCAGTGTCTATGGCTAAGCAGGGCAAACTAGCCTGCCAGGCAAAGGTGATTGTTGTTGTTTTGTTTGACCTGAGTCCTGGTTCCTGGCTTGTGTGCTCGTGTGTGTGTGTGTGTGTGTGTGTGTGTGTGTGTGTGTGTGTGTTAGGGACATTAGGGCTCCATGGCTATGTTCTCTGGCTCAGATGTGCAGAAGCTGTGAGCACAATGTAACTCCCGGATGGAAGAGCCCACGAGGCCTCTATGTCTGCCCCTGGAGCTGGTCCAGGCGCTAACTAGCCTCCTGAAGCTGTAAGAGCAGCTCCTTTTCCTCCTGACCTTCTACGTAGAAAAGCAAATAATGTAAGTTATGAGCATAGGCCTTTTCTTCCCCAAGGGATCACAGAGCTACTGGTATTTTGAATGCAGGAAAAAGTAACAGGGAACAGAAGTGTTTTCACTTTCCCATTTTCCTACTCAGAGGATCGAAAGGACTGCTGGCTATCGCTGGCTCCCAGACTACTAACTTCACAGGCCAGCGAAATTACAAGTACATTTTTGGAGGGTGGAAGAGAGGAAAGGAATTGATGAAGGGTTGCCTACATCAAATTTTGACATTTAAAGACATCAAAAGGGGCTGATAGCCTGCCTGGCTCAGTGAGAGAGCATCTGCCATCAAGTGAGAGGCCCTGAGTTCCAACCCTAGGAGCAAAACGAATGGAAATAAGCAAAGCAAAACCAACAAATGACCTGAACGACCACCACCAAAAACCTGCCACCTTTTTGCCTATGATGACTGACCATTTCTTTTCTCTTTTCTTTTCAGTTCTCTCTCTCTTCCTTCCTTCCTTCCTTTCTTCCTTCTTTCTTTCTTCCTTCCTTTTCTTTCCTTTCTTTCTTTCTTTCCTTTCCTTCCCCTCCCTCCCTCTCTTCTTTCCTCCCTCCCTCCCTTCCACGTGTGCCAGTATTGGGGCTTGAACTCAGCGCTTCATACTCTTGCTTGTTTGTTTTTGTTTTTGTTTCTCAAGGCTGGTGTTCTACCATCTGAGCCACAGCTCCACTTGCAGCAATTTGTTGGCTAATTGGAGGTAAGAGTCTCACAAAGCTTTGTGTTTAGGCTGGCTTTGGACCTCGATCCTCAGATCTCAGCTTCCTGGGTAGCTAGGATTCCAGGCATGAGCCACCAGTGCACAGGTCCATTTTATCACACAGTGTGTCCCCTCGACGGCTTCTCTGCCTTCACCACACACAACCCCATCTCCCCCGCAGTGCCCCGCCACTTGGTACCTGTGCTATGTGCTGCCTGAAAGCCTTTCCTCTGCACTGAGGCGTCCGAATAGAACCTGAGGAACAGGCTGCTGCCCGATGCCACTATGGGCTCTGGCTTCTTGCTGCCACAGAATCGACCGAGGGTAGGGGCCAGGATGTCAGGTCCATCGTACATTTCCAGGTGATCATAGGCACATTCCTGGTGCTGCTCGATCTCAAACTCATTGAACGTCTGGGAACAGAAGAGCAGAAAGTAGAGCAAGGACCTGGCATGGAGCGGGGGTGGGGAGGGGAAAGGCGAGCTGTCAGTGGTGGTGGCATCTGTCCAGCCTGCCATGCAAGGAGGTGCCTAACCATGGAGCTCAGGGGCACTGGGGAGAGGGGCTCCGTTCAGCCTCCTTTTGGTCTCCAAAACAACTCTGAAGACACATGAGCTACTCCTACCATGCCACGATCCCTTTGTAGGGGAGACAAGCAGAGATGGTTGATAACATGGTGACCACCAGTGAGCAGCAGTTTTCCATCCTAGCTACGCATTCCCAGCTCTGTCCTCTTCTCTCCCTTCCCTGAATTCCAGGAACCAGCAAGGGCTGAGCATTTCCCTCAGGCCAGCAGCTGTGCCGAATGCTTTACAATATTACCTCATTTAACGTGCAAAAGTCTACCCCGACTCCACAGGTGTTGAAAGCAAGCATACATCAGGTGACTTGCCCAAGGTCACACACTGACGCAGTAGGGTTGTAACCCAGGAGTGGTCTCAGAGACTTTTAAAAAATTACCAGTTCTGAAGCTTGAACTCAGGGTCTAGGCACTGTCCCTTAGCTTTCCTGCCTGATTTGGCTTGATTGTTAGATCTCAGCCATCTTAGTAGTTAGAATACAGGCTAGAATACATCTGTGAGACAACATTTCTGTCTGCTGTACAGACAAAATAGGTATGACTGTGCCGAGCATGCTGCTCTGTGTTCCATTCCCTAACGGTTATCCAGGATGAATGCTGCCATTGCAAACACATTCCAGCAGATGGCAGTCTTGGGAAGGCGTGCTTTCTTAAATGCACTCTGGATCTACTCTCACCCAGATCTGAGGCTGTTCTCATGACCCATGCAGCTCCTGGGAGCAACCAAGGAGAGCAGTTCCCACGTGCAGCATGTACTGGACGTGTGGGCTGAAAGCACCCTGTATCCCTTCTGCATGTCTCCATGCCTGTCTACCTGTCTAACCTTCACTCAAGGAGATTCACCTGTCCACATCTCAGTTAGGGCCCTCAGCACTAAATAACCTCACAGTCCCCATGCCGCTGGCCACTGGTGAGCATGCTTGCATCTCCGATCTCTTGCATTCTCCCTGAGTTAGTGTTCTGTCATTGGCAGGACAAATCCTGCTCCTGTCAGTATTTAGAGGATTCGTTTAAAATAATAACAGCAAAAATTTTGTCAGCCCAGCTGGCAAAGTGAATTTGCCATGTACTCCAGACTCTGGCAGTCCCTGGGAGTTAAGAAATAAGACTGAGAGAGATATATTTCTCCTTTGAAATAACCAAGCAAGTGGTTTGAGACCACACATCAGTTACATGAATGAGACTTAATCAAGACTTGCAAGGATTTTCCTTTTTAATTCAAGAAAGAACAAACATAACTTTCCTATCACTGATTGGATAAATATAAGTTGTAAGATAATTTGATCTCATTTGAGTGGCCTAAGTAAGAAAAAAAATCTATATTTTCCCCATATACATGCATAAGAAATTTCTGGATGCATTCAGAAGAAAATGCTGAGGGCACCCATTTTCCTTCCCAACCTTCAGTGCTTACTGAAATTATTTTTTAAACCTTGAGAATGTCATGTTTGGGGTTATTTTAAAAAAAAATCAACACTGGGGCTGGGAAGGTGGTTCAGTGGTAGAGCGCTTGCCTTGCATGCATAAGGCCCTGGGTTCGATTCCTCAGCACTACATACGCACAAAGAAAAAAGCCAGGAGTGGCACTGTGGCTCAATGGAAGAGCACTAGCCTTGAGCTGAAGAGCTGAGGGACAGCGCCCAGGCCTAAAGTTCAGGCCCCACAACCGGACCAAAAAAAAAAAAATCAATACTGAAACAACTGAATTTCAACAGCCCTGCAGATCTGTGGGGTACACACACACACACACACACACACACACACACACACACAGAGCCATCGTGGGCCAGTGGAGTTACAGAGCTGTTGTGTGTGACCTCTGTTTTCCTTCTACACCACAGCCCCATGAAGCAGGCTTTATCAACACCCCCACTTTCTACACAGTGAATCAAAGACCAGGAAATTCTGGGTAGAACCACAACTAAGTGTCAGTAATAGGAAGTGGCAGAGCAGAGACTCAAACTCAGGCCTGCCCAATGTGGAAATGCAAGTTCTTAACCAGCTACGACATGACTCACGAGTTTCACCCTGTGGCCTGCGGTAGAAGAGATGTTCCAGGTGCACTCCCTCCGGCTGGGGTATTTATCAGGCCAGTTGGGGGTTGCCAGGGTCCCTTCTGCACTGCTAATTTTGTGTGCACAGCCAGCTGGGGGGTCACAGGGGGGAGAGAGAGTGTGTCATTCACTTGTAAACAGCATCAAAGGTATTTGTTATAGGGGTTTCTTCTCTGGTTTCTTTGTCTTGGGGGTCATCAAAGATGAGTGGGGGGCAGCCTGAATCCAGTGCTCTTTGGTGCAGAGATTTGCTGATTTGTTTGAATTGCGTTCCTGCCTACCTCACTGTGGCTCAGGAGCCAGGATATTCTATTAACTGTCCACAAGGATGCTGGCATTGCAAATAATACTAGGTTAGAAGCACCGGCCTTGGGGTCAGATGGAGCTCAGTTCAGGTCCTGATTCTACTACCTATGGGGCCTTATTTATAAAAGGGGTATCAGCCTCGTACATGCAGATTAAGTGAGATACCACATGTAAGAGGTAGCTGAGATCCTGCCCTGGGAGAGCAGCAGAGATCTCGCTGTCACTCTATGCCCTGTGCATGTGCCTCTTTCAGCTTTCCAGCATGTGGAGAACTCTCTGCGTTGTCCTGGTTATTGCTCTGCTCTCACAGTACACCCCCAGGACCTGCACACTAATTGCACCCTGGGCAGTGGTTAGACTGTGTCTTCCTCTGTGCTGAGCACTCATTCAATTATTTTACTCCTTCCCATTTCCTAGTAAGAAAGCCGGGGTGTGGGGGGCAATCTATGGTCTTCACAGGTCACCACACCCAGCGAACATGGTGGACTCTGTGGCATCAAGGCCTGGTGCCTGAGTTTATCACAGATGTTCAAACTGTTTCACAGGACAGAACCAGAATGGAGGGGTGGCTTCGAGAATGACTGGACTCCCATGAATGAATGGAGCATGGAGAAAAGTTCTCCCCAAATTCTTGGTCCCTATAAGGCCGGTGTTTGGGTAATAGTATTATGGCATATACGGTGGCTGATATTTATTGATACCTGCGTGTGTTATATGCACCAGGCTGGAATGCTTTCTAGGCATTCTTTTAATATCTACGAAACTTCAGGAAGGAGGCACACTGAGCCTCTTGCTGAGTCTCAGGGACTAACTTGTACAAGGTCACACCACTAATGAGTGGCTATCTGGGGTGTAGACCTGGGCCTATAGCTTAACCACTTTTCAGTAACTCAGCATGGGGCACCTGAAGAAGCCAGGAACACTGAACCACTCCCAGCAAACCAGAGCAAGGCACGCAGAGGTTGAGGCCCAGACTCAGGCCTCTCCTGGAGCAGTCCGGCCCACCCCACCCCACCCCACCACAGCCCTGCCCACCCCCACCGCAGCCCTGCCCACCCCACCTCCCTAGCGCATGTGCCCACGGGGGAAGGGCGTGCAGCTGGACCCAGAGGTTGCCCTCACCCTCTTTGCAGTCGTGCTCGTTCTCATGCAGCCGATACCCGTTCCGACACCTGCACAGGTAGCTCCCGAACGTGTTGACACACTCGTGCTGGCAGCCACCATTGTCCTTGGCACATTCATCTTTGTCTGGGAAGATCAATGGAATCTCTGGTTGGGAGGGTCCCTCATGGCTCAGACCCTGTTCCAAAGCACCCTCCTCCAGGGAACCTCCCTGACTGTCCCCCATCATCCTCTTATGGTGTGTGTGTGTGTGTGTGTGTGTGTGTGTGTGTGTGCTCACATGGTTTGGCAGGTATGTTTGATTCCCTCAGCTCCTAAAACTGTTTGCCACACCGCACATGTGTTCTCTGCCCCTGCAGGAAGGATTCCTATTATAGCAAAAGTCACTGGGTACTGAGTATGTCCTAGGAGTGGGACCTGCCCCAAGCACTTCCTATATGTTATCAAGTTCATTTCCACCCAACCTCAGGAAGGAGGGCTCGTACCCATTTTTCAGGTAAGCAAACAGAGGCTGGGAGGACTGGGGTGCCCAGAGTCACTCAGCAAGTGGCCTAAGCGAGCCACCTGCAGGTCTGGGCTCACACACCACTTCCTGCCTGTGGACTCAGGAGGTCAGTGAGTGCTGACCCTGCTGCAGCCCTGCCTGTGGCTGGGACACGGGGCAGGGCCTGACTGTGTGCCTCAGTGGTCTCCACCCAGCACCCCAGGACAGGAGCCAGCCCCTCCATTCCTGGGTTCTTCTGGGGACACTCGTAGGCCCTCACCCTGCTCAGACTCAGCTCTTCTGCCCTCAGAGTTCCAAGGCAAGCATGGAGGTGTGCCCCACTCTGGAGACTCGCACACCTCCTCTCAGGGAGGTGCTGGTCCACTCCCCTACCCGCCCAGCTCCACACTTGAGGTCTGGCTGGATCACAGGCCTTCACAGCACCCCTGCTGAGGACCTGCAGAGGGTCCCACATCTGGTTCTGATGAATCCTCACTCTTCTGTCTACATTCAAGGTCCTCTAAAACCCAACCCCACCCAACATGGCCCACCTCATCCCTGGTCTTGAGGACTGACTTGGTTCAGTCTGCTCTCATCTTGGTCTCTGTACTCAGTTTGAGACCCCAAACCCAAGCTCCCACTGCTTTCTCTTCTTGGACATTATCACTTTCTTTCTATTCATCCCAGCCCCACCCTTGTCCTGTCCATCCCTTAGGCCTGGCCTAGAACACCATGCGTACTACAAAAAGCCTTCCCCTATGTTCCAGGTAGCCAGGATTCCTCTCCTTCCAACATCCATCCTTGATACTCTGGCCTACCCCTAAGGGCCCCAAAATGCAGGATGAGGTAAGCTTGTTCACACCCTGGCCACCTATCTGAGCCCGGTGCTGGGTTGTACCCCAGCAGGCACTCTAAAACAAAATTTATCAACACAGATGCAGTGGCTCATGCCTGTAATCCTAACTACTCAGGAAGCTGAGATCTAAGGATTGAGGTTCAAAGCCAGTAGGGAAGTTAAGTTGGAAGATTTGTATCTCTAATTAACCAACAAAAAGCCAGAAGTAGAGCTGCGGCTCAAGTGGTAGAGTGCTACCTTTGAGAGAAAAAGCTATGGGACAGCACCAGGTTCCAAGTTCAAGCCCAATACTGGCAAAAAAAATGAAATGAAGCAAAACAAAAACTACCAAAAAACCCTTGTCAACAAGAGACTGCCCAATATAGATCTATCTATCTATCTATCTATCTATCTATCTATCTATCTATCTATCTATCTATCTATCTATCTATCTATCTATCTATCTTTCTATTTCAGAGGGAACTCCAGCCACCTTCCAGGCACATATAAAGCCTATAAGTAATTGGCTTCTTGCTCAGGTCTAAGCAATTAGAATATAAAATAACCTAACTACAGTCCTTTTTTTTTTGGCATGGGGCTTGAACTCTGGGCCTAGGTGCTGTCCCTGTGCTCTTCAGCTCAAGGCGAGCGCTCTACCACTTGAGCCCCAGCACCACTTCCGGGTTTTCTAGTGGTTTATTGGAGATAAGAGTCTCACGAACTTTCCTGCCTGGGCTGGCTTTGAACCGCGATCCTCAGATCTCAGCCTCCTGAGTAGCTAGGATTACAGGCATGAGCTACCGGCACCTGGCTTAACTACAGTCCTTAAACAGTCCACACTATAATGTAGTATGACCCGCAGGCTCTGCGGGTGGGCCTACATTTCAGATTTCTGGTCCCTAGAATAGTAAGAATATAATTGTATCTTAAGCTACTCAGTGAGTTGCAATTTGTGATGGACGCTCCAAAACATGAGTAAAGACCTTGGGTCCATGGGGCTGGGAAGGTAGCTCAGTGGTAGAGCGCTTGCCTTGCATGCCTGAGGCCCTGGGTTCGATTCCTCACCACCATATAAGCAAAAAAAGAAAAAAAGAAAAAAGTGGCGCTTGGCTCAAGTGGTAGAGCGCTAGCCTTGAGCTGAAGAGCTGAGGGACAGAGTTCAGGCCCCACGACTGAACCCCCCCCCAAAAAAAAAGACCTTGGGTCCAGGTGCCCATATTGGGAGGATGCAGGGGTGAGCTAAGAGGGGACAGGGACTCAGAGGTGGGAGCTTGCAAAGTCACCTGACCATGAGCTGCATGCCTCGCCTCCTCATCCACCTACCAGAGAAGAAGTGGGCCCGGAAGCCCCGTTTGGAGACCGTGTTGTCAGACTTGAACTCCACGCGCATGTTGTTGCTCTGTGAGGTGATGACCTCGGGGGTCTCAGACCCGCAGAACTTGCCGTGCAGCCTAGCATCAGGGGACAGGCCACTGCGCACCTCCACGAAGTCGTACTTACAGACCTGCGAGGGAAAAAGGAGGAAAGCAGCCCTTACGCCCATCTCCCAGCCCAGAGCCCCTGGCTAGGTCTGCACCCTGCCATGTGGCCCCATGGGCTCAGGCTAGCTCCAGCGGTGGGGAAGGGGGGTTCCCCTCTATTTCTCTATGCTGATCATTAGACTAAGTTCCAGAGGCTGCCAGGGACCAACCCTGTCTTTTGTGCCTTTCTCGCAGCAGGGCCCCAATCAAGCACCACCCCACTTGCGTCGATCATTTTATATCATGGCTGCCATATGATATTATCTTGAAGAAAGCCCCCCCCCCCTTGCTGAAGGAGAAGAGAAAGAGAAGGAAGAAGGTGCAAGGGAAGGAGATTCTTAAGCCACTGACACAATCCAAATCCTCCATGTCCTCATGCAGAAAAACAAAAGCTCGGAAGGGCACAGACAACATGTCCGGAGTTCCACAGCTCTGCAATGGTGGTACAGCAATGATTTTCTCTAAAGGGACGGCTGGATAGTCTACACATGGGTTTTGTCTGTGCAATGTTCACTGTGAAGTGAGGTCTGTGACTCAGGTCATTGCCAGTGGGCTTGTCTCAGGCTATAGGCCTGACTGGCAGAGGGGCACCAGGCTGGTGGTTCTTTAAGGGAGCAAGGTAAAAGTCCTGTGTGACCCCCCCAGGGGGGTCCCCCTCCAGTTCCATGTGCAGACACAGGACATACCCAGCAAGCACTCTGGCTATAGCAGCCTAACTTGGTCATCCATAGCTACTCCCAAGAGAGGGAACAGGCTGTGTGTAGCAACAGCTGAACCTCAGCTGGACACAACCGCCCAGATTCACAGCCCAGGGCTCCAAGCTGTCCATGCTTTTACTCAGATCCCTATTCCACTTGTACTTATCAGTGACAAGAGGGCCCGAGGTAGTCTATGCGCAGCTGAAGAAACTGGGTTAACTCCCACCCCTACCCCAGCCTTCACCCCGATTCTGCCAGACTTAGATCCTGTGACTCTTTCAAAATGGCAGCTTCCACAGGAGCAACCACCCTGCCCGCCAACCCTCCTCCTTGGTCCCCTTTCAGAGTCACTTTGTTAACACGGCTCCCCATCAGTAGAGCACAGATACATACGTCATTGCCTTCCAGTTCGAACACTTCAAACTGCAGGGAGATGCGGTACTGCGTGGGGGCTGCCACTTGCCAGACACAGTTTTTGTTTGTGGGATATTCCTTGGGCCACCCAGGACTGGTGATGGTTCCGTTCAGCTTGGTAATGAAACCGCCACAGGCCACTGTGCAGGGGACACAGAAGCAACATTCATTTGGTGGTTGTTCCTCGTGACTGCGATTTCCCCTTCCACCTCCCTCCCCCTGCAGCAAGGAGCCTCACTGGTCCATCCTGATGATAGAATCAATAGGAGCAGATTCGCTCAGTGTCCTTTTTACTTAGCCTCTGTTTCAAACTGAGGATCTGGAGGAAGGTGGGGACAAGTCTTTTATTGTTTTGAAAATTATGATGCCTGGAGGTGGAGATGTAAGTGGTAGACTGCTAGCCTTTGGAGGAAGGAAAGCCAAGTGAGAATATAAGGCCCAAAGTTCAAGCCCCAGTACCGGCACGTAAATAATAATACATACAAGAAAATAAGAAGATGCATTGACTTGTCACCTAACGGCATAGTTGTGACACCATATGGTCTGGACCAAAGAAGAATTAAAAATGTCTGCACTTCCAGGCACCAGTGGCTCATGCCTATAATCCTAGCTACTCAGGAGGCTGAGATCTGAGGATCTTGGTTTATTTTATTTTTGTTTTTTTGGGTCCAGTCGTGGAGCCTGAACTCTGGGCCTGGGCGCTGTCCCTCAGCTCTTCAGCTCAAGGCTAGTGCTCTACCACTTGAGCCACAGCACCACTTCTGGCTTTTTCTTTTTGCTTATGTGGTGCTGAGGAATCGAACCCAGGGCTTCAGGCATGCAGGCAAGCACTCTACCACTGAGCCACCTTCCCAGCCCCGAGGAGCTCGGTTTAAAGTCAGCATAGGTAGGAAAGTCTGTGAGACTCTTATTCCAATTAGCCAGCAAAAAGCTGAAGTAGAGCTGTGGCTCAAGGGGCAGAGTGCTAGCCTTGAGGGGGAAAGCTAAAGGGCAGCACCCAGGCTGTGAGTTTTAAGCCCCAGTACTGGCTGCACATACAAAATAAATGTCAGCACCAAGCTGTCCGCTGTACCTGCCTTGCATGAAAAGTACAGTCCCACAGGAGAAACAGGTAGGTGAAAGCACTCACCCAAAAGGACTCATAGATTTTTCTGCCTTCATTTTCTGCCTTAATTATGACGTAAATCTCACAGAGCCACGGAAGAAAATGAGTGGTGGCCTGTCTCACCATTTCATTTAATTTCATATAGTTCTGGCAACTCGCACTTGTCCCTGTGACCAAGTTGTTCCTCTCAGCGTGTCTGGGGGTGGGGGGGGGCGTGGATTTCTCACTCTGTTCCCCACCCCATCACATCAGCTTGGCAGGTTCAATACAAACCTTCACATGTCTTCTTGTCAGTAGCCAACTCGTAGCCGGGGTCACAGGCACACATGTAGCTGCCAAGTGTGTTTACACACTGTTGCTCACACCCACCATGGTCTGGCCAGGAACATTCATCTACCTCTGCAGAGAGGAAAGGTGACCTGGCTAAATCCTCACCAACCTTCCTGGTCCACTGCCCACCCTTCCACATCCCGGGGCACCCAGCTGAGACCAGGCCTCAGCTTAGCATAGCTAGAGCTCTGAGTTCTTTCCATTTTCCAGCTGGCAGAGCGAAAGGAGGCTTCCATGCCTAAATACTGAGACAGCTTATGTAGCACCCCAAGAATTGTTTCAGAGAGTATTAAAGAAAGATGGGGCCTATCTCTAGGTATCTGAAGAAATGCCATGAAGGATGCAGGTTCCCTTTACCATGGAGGCTCAGGGAGCAGGGGTGAAAGGGAATTTAACATTCCTTATGGAGGGACTATGGACCAAAATGATCTAGCCAAGCCTTGAATGCTGCGATCACTCCACATCACCAGAAATGTAAGGTGCTCTACTGATTGCCCAGCCAATAACTCTGAGAGGGACTGCCATCTGGCACCAGGAGAGGGATGCTGAGGCCAACTGGTATCCTGGCCAGTGTCATGGGCCAGCTGGGCCCTGAACAGAGCCTGCTACCAGCAAGCGCCAAGGCACGAGTGTCTTTGGCTTGCTCCCACTCTGTTGCAAGCCTGTGGTTATGCTTCCAGCTTCTCTCGCTGGCGTAGTCCTGACACATGAGCTGGGTACTTGTGTCCACAGCACACCCTACTGCTAGTCTTCACTCCAAAGAAACTGGGCTAGGGAAACTGGGCATTATGACTCTTGCTTTGCTCCTTACTCTTCCCTGGAAGCTCCCAAGAGTGACCAGCAGGGCACCAGTGACTCATGCCTGTAATCTGAGCTATTCAGGAGGCTGAGATCTGAGGATCGAGGCTCAAAGCCAGCCTGGGCAGGAAAGGCCATGAAACTCTTATCTCCAATAAACCACCAGAAAAAAATCAGAAGTGATGCTGTGGCTCAAGTGGTAGAGCACTACCCTTGAGCTGAAGAGCTCAGGGACAGGGCTCAGGCCCACAGTTCAAGCCCCATGACCGACAAAAATAAATAAATAAATAAAAAACAGTGACTTCGCATCTCACTGGGCCCTTGGCAGCTTAGGAGGTACAATCATTTCATTGGGCTGATTTCTTTTTCTCTGTTCTGTAGAGGGGAAATAGGGAGCTATGGCTGCCTGTCATGGTGATATGGCTTGAAGTTGGTTCTTCAGGCCCCTAATGCTTCATGGAGAATACAGGAGAACTGTCTAAAAAAGAGACAGAAGAGAGATGGCTCCAAGTGCCAATCATACTTGGAATCCTAGCTTCTCAGGAGGTGAGATGTGAGGATCATAGCTTCAAGCCAACCAAGACAGGAAAGTCCTTGAGACTCTTACCTCCAATTAATCACAAAAAAAGCCTGTGGATCAAGTAATTGAATGCTAGCATTGAGTAAAAACGGCAAGGGACAGCGTCCAGGCCCTGAGTTTAAGCCCCAGTACCAGCATACACTCTTCTCTGCCCCCTCTCACCCTTGACTAGGGAATTCAGTATCTTACCCAGACTCTGGTACACACTCAATGATAGCTGCTGTTCAAATATTCCTAGTTACCAACGCTCAGCTTCACTGTACTCTAGCTTGACCTTGTAAATTTACTACATCTCATTCTCAAGTGCAGAATGATCTGCTTTGTAGAGGCCAAATTTGAGCCTGCTCCTGAAAACTGTGAACTCTGGGCCTGCGGGCGGGTATGCTCAGTACAGCTCTGCAGTGGATGGCTGCCTCCTCCCTGCAAGGAGCCATGCTTGGGGCTGAGGCTCCATACGGGTTTTATGGTTCTTCCACTAGGGGAAGAAATACTTCTTCCTGTGACTGAAAGTGGAAACAACTTCTAATTCATACCCTTGAAAAAACTGGCCGCAAAGCCTGCTTTGTTAATGGAGCTGTCGGATACAAACTTCATCCAAAGTCTGTTGGAGCTCGATTTCACATCATCTGGCTTCTCATAGCCACAGAAGTGGCCGATCAGGGCGCTGTCTTGTGTGGGGCCATCACGGATTTCCAGGTAATCATAGGCACAGCTGTCGTGTCTTTCAATCTAAAGAGAGAAACAGAGGGGGCACGGTGATTCCAGCTGACTTGCATTCAAGGCTTTTGATTTATGAGTGGAATATGATTTAGGAATGCTGCGCATGTGCTGGGCTTCTCTGAGCTCTTTGTGGCAGAAGTCATGGGTGAATCAAACTGAGAAGGAACTAAGAAGTGAGAAAAGACAATTCTACAAAACTTCCTTGGTCTGCCTCCATCCTACCTGTCCATTTCTGTTAGCCCTGTCAGCTTCTCTTACAAAGGAGGTGAAGCAAATCTCATAGACTTGTGACACAACTCACTGTGACCTTAAAATGGTCTCTTAAGTTCCTGTGTGTAACTACACAGTGGAAGTCATCTTCAGAGTGAAGGGTGTGGAGTTAAAGCTGTCACTTGCTTCATGCTCATGAAGACATCCAAGCCCCACTCACCTCAAAGGCTTGGAAGGTAAGTCCCACGTGAAATCCATCCGACACTGTGATCCTCCACACACATTCCTTGGAAGGCCTGTAATCATCGGGGTAGTTGGGAGATTGAATCTGACCGGAGTCTTTGGTAATGTCTCCTCCACACATAGCTTTAGAAAGACAAGCACAAGGAGGAACCAGGTCCCTGGTCATACATTTTAGGAAGAAAGGTAAGTGGCCAATTGTCACCACTAGGTGGCTCCACTCACTAACATTTTCCCCTAATGTCAACAAAGACTGTGCCCCAGAAAGATAAAAGTGCATCTGTTTTTCAACCCTGAAATTCCTCATATAAAGAAAACAACTTTGTAGTGCCCTCATTGTCTATAAAACTCACAAGGAGCTTTTCCAACAGTGGGAGTCAGGTAGCTCTGGGTACATTGAGCAACAAAGCTCAAAGTACCTAAGTGATTCAAAGAACAGAAGTCCGGTGCTACACACAGACAGACAGGTACCTTCCCCACACATACACACACAGCATGTGCATGTACGGATGTGCACACTGTTAGATCTTTTATAAAAACAAAATTTTGGCCTCTCCAAAATTACAATGGCTTGGGCCAAAAAGGGCCTTTAGTCATTTTCTACCAGTGTCCCATTTTTTTAGGGGTTTGGGGCCATTCAGAGAAGAATTTCTTTCGCTAATGAAACAGATAGCAGCCCTGAGAGGTCAAGGTCTTTGCTTAGGCTCACACAGCTATTCAGAGCTCACTGGCATTTGCACAGGCTCTATTTCAGCTTTCCAGCTGGACCAGAAGCAAGGTTCAGCAGGCTGGTGACAGGTAGAGAGAAGTTCGACGTGGGTACTGCTGGCTTCAGCCTTCCAAGTGTGGAGGAGCGACCTGTAATTCTAAGCTTTCCCCCTCTAGTGGTGGGCTGACCCTCGAGGGTCTGCCAAGCTGTATTCACGCCTTGGGGGAAGAAGGACAGAGAGCTGCACAGGAAGGACAGAGGCAAATCAGCTGCAGCTGCTGGCACAGTGCGCTATCATGAACAAACCTTCATATACTGCAAAGAAGCCCTTGCCCAGGATGCTGCTGCTGCTGCGAAATTCCACCCAGAGCCGGCTGTCCGAGGAGATGAGGGGCTCCGGGATCTTATCGCCACAAAACCTCCCTGGAAAGGGGAAAGACACGGTCAGGATGCCTGTGGACAGCAAGAGGTGCTCGCTGCCACTGGAGAGCAAGGTCTGGTTCTTCCGATACGCTTGGCAGACCCTCCCTGGGACCACACCTCCTGAGAATGGGAGGGAGAGTCACACATTCGTATGCCTCATTCAGACAAACTCCACATGTCAGTCCATCAAAATACCCAGGTACAGCCTCTCTGGGGGCCTGCTCCTCATGGCACCTTAATCAGGGCAGCTCGCAAGTAGAGCAGGATGGTGCTCTGAGCTAGCATGCCTTATGGCACTATGGCCTTCCTTTTGGAGCATTGAACACTCTGCTCTCCTTGCCTCAGGGAAAAAAAAGAAGAATGCATCTCCCCATCCCTGTGATCTATGAAAGGGTCCCAGGCCACAGGATGGAGGGCACTAGGAGAGAGGCTTCGAGAGGACACATGGGCCCCTTCTAGGACCTGTACTCCATCCACCTTGGGCTGTGGATGGAACAGGGGGACTCCACGGCAGTTTCAGCCCCTGGGAGACGCATAAAGCTATCCCCAGCCCCTAGGTAGATCCTGGAAGGGCAAAGAGATTCTTGATTTCCCAGCTCTTCCTGAGAGAAGGTGTGAACAGATATGTATATATAATTTGTCAAGACACTCAGCCATGAAACAGACATGAAGAGTTCTGTTCCTCAGGCAATTGACAGCAGCAACATGTAGGTTTCTGGTACAAAGGCATTTGGCCATAGCCCTAACATTTCATGGGTACTTTTATTTTCAATGTCCTGTGACGTGCTGGATAAAAGTCACTTGTAGCTATAAATCTGCTTTATCCTTCTAAGAAAAATGGGGATTGATAAGGTTGGAAGGAGTAAAGGTCACAATGCGCACCTCCTGGTGGCCCACTCTGAAGCATATTCATTGGGGAGAAGGGTGAGAGGGGACTACTACTAGCCTCCTTGGCATCCTCCTGATTTTGGCTACCTGTGACCATGTGGCTTTGGCGATTTAATATTCAGTGAGATGAGATGAAATTGCTGCCAAGACTTAGGTAAGGAAGGACTCACTAGAAGCCCATATATTGTCGGTAATTGTTCCCTGGTGTAGCCAATTGATGTTCATTAGATTCTGGAGACTGACTGACTGAGGAATCATTGATTACTAGCATGGAGAGAGACTGAGCTCGGGGGAGGGAGAGGGAGAGAGAGAGAGAGAGAGAGAGAGAGAGAGAGAGAGAGAGAGAGAGAGAGAGAGAGAGAGAGAGTACATTCAATGGCAGTTAGAAAACTTCAGACCAAAGCTAGAATTTCTTCTTAGCCTAGCCCAAGTTTCAAGTTCAAGTTTTCCCTTTTAAAGCCCCAGCTGTCACAGCCCCTGAGTACTACTTCCAAAAGGGAGAGGGACATCCCCATCTTATTTCTTAAGGATCTAAGGGATGAGATGACCCACTCTCTCTCTCTGTCTCTATCTGTCTGTCTCTCTTTCACACCCACACCCACACACATACACAGACATACATACCTGCTCCAAGGAGAGACCACCCTTGCTCAGTTCTCTGAGACAGGAATTACATGCAGGAATATTTTACTGCTTAGGGAGTATCTCAAACTAGACACCTCCTCCTGTAGTTTCTATCACCTCCCATTAACCTGTGTATCCATCAGTGGATTGTCCATGGGTGAGGTGAGAACTCACAAGATCCAGTCACTGCTGAATACTGCTGCACTCGAGACCAACCATGAGCATTTGAGACTCAAGCCAAAACAAGTAAGGATGGATGAGAGACTGAGTATGGAGTGCTTAGGCTAGAGTCTCACACTAGCCACAGACAGGATGGATAACAGAGGGGCTTTTCTTATATCCACTATGGTGAAGAGTTTGAGGAAGTAGGTCACTGGGGGTGTGCCCTTGAAGGGTTTCTTGTCCCTGGTCCCTCTCCCTCTTTGCTTCCTGGCCATCATCAGGTGAGCACCTTGTCTTTACCATGATGTACCACCACCTTGCCACCTACCTAAGAGCAAACCAGGCCAAGGGGTCATGGACTGAAGTCTCTGAAACTGTGAGGCCAAAGCAAACCTTTACTTCCTTTGCGTTGATTTCTCTCAGGTATTTTGTCATAGCAGTAGGAGTCTAACATACCACTAGTCCTTGGATTAGGTATTGTTATTGATCACATTTCACAGATGAGAAAAGTGCAGATGAGGGAATTTACCTCAGAGCTGGAGGTGGACGCAGAATATGAGCCATGGCAGTTGGAGATCTAGACTTCTACTATCACCTTCTTATCACCACCACCGCCACCACCAAAAAGAATTTGGGTGCAGTTCTGAGCACCGTACATAGTTGGTTCCACCAAATTTTTCCCTGGAAATGTAAGTGTCACGTCCATTTCCCACTTAGGAAACAGACACGTAAGAATGAAGATCATAGTTTCAAACTGGGAAGCCAGTTTATACAATGCCAACCTCAGCTGTGTACTGCAAGCCTCACTATTGGCCTTACTCTCTCATTTTTGTTAGTTTGGGAAGCTGGCCTAGCACTGGGGCATGCAATATGGTGACAAGTTGGGTTGGCCTGGCCTTCCTGAGTTTCTCTCCCCATCTGAAGGAAAGGGGAAAAAGGGCTTTTGTGCACATTGTGGTGCCACAGAACTCTCGACAGTTCTGCATACAAAAAGTACATTGTTTAGAGTAATTCCTTTAACAGAAATAGGGGGGGTGTCAATTTCTAGGACAGTGTTTAAGACTACAGGTTCTCTATATAGCCACTGACTTCTCCATAAAGGCACAATCTCCTAAATGGCCCCTGACATTGAAAAACTGAGTTGAGATCTTTAAGCAGCTGTGAAATATTTCTCAATCCATTTAATTTTCCCTGGAAATCACTCTACCTGGGTCCTGAGAGGCCTCCTTCCAAGGAAACTAAACAGGCTGGAGAAACACTGAAACAGAGACAAGGTATCCAGTTCCTAAACTGAATCCTGGTTCTTGGGTTTAGAGGAGGAGGACCAGGTGGTGGAGGAGGGGGAGGAGGAGGAAGAGTTTAATAAGGATATCAAGAAGAGGAAATGCAGATGAGGGCACTAAAAGTGGCTCCGTGGGGAGTCATAAAGGCTTCATTCATAAAAAGTTATACGCGCATTATGCCTGGATTTTCACACAGTGCCCTGGGAAAAAAAAATTGGATGCATGGTTTTTCAGAGCAAGATGCATACTTTCACAATCCACCCTAATCCGTTCTGCCTCCTGCCAAAGGGGCATTGACCTGCCTCCTCCCAACAGATTTCATGGCACTGACCCCTCCCAGGGACCAGCTTGGCTGACACAATGCACTTGTTCCAAACACAAAAGTTCACTAACAACTGCATTTGGAAACATCAGAGCAGGCCAAATAGTTGGCAAAGGAGAGAGAGAGAGAGAGAGAAGGAGAGAGTGGGAGAGAGTGGGAGGGGGGAAGAGGAGTTCTTGCAAATGAAGAATGGCAGTTGTGGGCAATAAGCCATGCCTTGGCTGCAACACCATGCTCGCATGTGCGTGTGCATGCACGTGCGCACACACACACACACACACACACATATACTGCAGAAGTGGATAAAATATGAGCCTCCCCCAAACAAACAAACAAAATCCTCAAACCATCATGACTGTAAGGTCCTGTCCCATTAATGCACATACCAGGATTTGCAGTGAGAAAAAATCCCTGCCTCAAGAGCAAGCCAAGGGAAGACCGAGAAACCAGCCTGTGCCCACCCTCAAGAATGTGCCTGGACCCTCCCTAGGGAACTTCCAGAACAGAGAACTTCCTCCTCTTGAGTCTCTGAGCCTATCCCCTTCCTAAGGTGCATGGGACTGGCCAGGTTTAGCAAAGAAAAATTCAGGAAGCCCAGTTAACTTTGAATGTTAGATAAACAACACATAGTGTATTTTATCTGGCAGTCCTAAAAGAAAATCCTGCTCAGAGTCAGCATTACCAGAACATCTGGATTCTGGTCTGATCTCAGCTATTAGTGGGCTGCACAGCTTTGGACAGTTAGCACCCACTTGGGCACCTCTCTTGTGAAGGGATTCGGTGACTGGAAAGGTGTTGGCCAGGTTGAGGGGATTGTGATTTCATGTTCTCATGAAGTTCTTCCTACACTGCTTTTGTAAAAAAAAAAAAAAGAGCTTGTAAAAGACTCCAACGATGGAGATGCATGCAAATCAAAACATAAAACGGTTCACCTACATGCTTCCTTTCCTTGGCAACCATTGCAGTAGCATCCTGGCAGTGCATCCGTTTTAGACATGGGTGCATACACAAACCAACCAACTTGTGGAGGTTCTAGTTCAGTAAGTCTCCCAGGAATCTATGTTCATAGAAATCTTCCCAGGTCATATCGATGCTCCATAGTTTGGGAACCACTGCTTCAGTCCTGTCATTTTGCCATACCCCATTACTGCTATACTCTGGTAAATTGTGCACACCCCTGCAAGCCATGCATACCCTTGTAACTGAGCCCTGTTCTAGCAGCTAGGACCCCCATAGCTGCTCATAGTAGGCAGGAAATACAGACACCCTTTGTCCTGTGCACAACCCACAGTTCCTTCAGTGCACATTCTTGTATGTGCCTGGCCTATGGCCACTTTCTCAGCTTGTCTACCTGGACTGCTAATTAACTGACAGATCCTTCCTAATGCTGGCAACCTGGTGCCCCCATGCAGAGCCTGTCCTGATTTCTCCCCTGTGCTCTGGGGCTCCTGTGGAGGCAAATTCTTGTTGGTACCTCTTGGCACAGGTGCTTGTATGCTATTCCCAATGGCAGTTGACCCAGTGGGGACCCCTTACCCATGGAGATGCTTTATATACACCAGGCCCTTCATATCCACTCCAGCCAGACCTTCAGTTCCAGTCTCTTTCAACCTATCTCATTCTTGTTTGCCAGGATCCAATATGACACTAGGGCTCTATCTAGCAGTGAAGTCTACAACTTGGCCCCCTCTTTTCTTTTTTTGTCAGTCATGAGGTTTGAACACAGGGCCTGGGTACTATCCCTGAGCTCTTTTGTTCCAGGTTAGCACTCTACCACTTTGAGCCACAGCACTACTTCCAGTTTTCTAGTTATTAAATGGAGATAAAAGTCTTACAGACTTTCCTGTCTAGTCTGGCTTGGAACTGCAATCTTCAGAACTCAGCCTCCTGAGTAGCTAGGATTATAGGCATGAACCACCAGCACCTGGATTCCTTCTTTGCTTTTCTGTCACCATCTTCAGTAAGTGCCCCACTAACCACTCATTCAGGCCAGTCATCCACAGTGCAGTAAGTGGGGCTTTTCTGCTCATGTGAGGATATATCAGGTCAAGGGCCCACCAAAACCTTAGAATCATCCAGCCAGGCACCTACCCTATAGGAGCTTCAACATTGAGGACAATCTATCTTTAGCCAAGAATCTCCCATCTCTCTCTTGGCAGTGTGCTTTTCTTTTCTGTTCCATTGACAGTACTAGAATGCCTGTTTTCAAGACACAAAGCCACTGGTCTGTAGGCTGTGTTCATCTGCCCTGACCACCATGAGAGAGTACTCTTGTTGTGAACCTTTCTCTTTATGCCACCTTGCCATTCCCCTTTCCTTAAAGGTCCAAGCTATTTCTTCAGAAATGAGTTCATGCCTTGTCCATCTCACAGGAATCAAACATGCCCATCATAGAAAACATAAAAAACCAAGACCAGAATACAAAAAATTAAACACTATCCTAAAATAACTGTGCTATTCACACTCATAATTTTACTTGATAGACATAGATTGCAAAATGGCTTCTTTCATTTGATTCAGCCAGCACATGCCTTAAATAATTTTGATTTGAATGATTCTTGACAGGACATTTCATAGTCATTTTGTCACACTCCCCACCACTCCTAATTTTATGAGACTAATCCCTTGTTATTCATTCACACCTCCTAGAGCACCTAAGTTTGCAATTCTTATACTATGTATGTATACACGCATATGCATGTTTTAAATAATGCCATCGCCAGTTGTATGGGTAACATGCTTTTCTGTGTGTCACAATGTACTATAAACACCTTTCTGAATCAGTACGTAGTCACCTGAAACTTTCTTGTTAATGGCTGGCAAGTTTTCCATTGGCGAGATGTGTCATCATTTATTCAGCTAACTCCTACTGTCGAACATTTAAATTGCTTTCAATTTTCCCTGCTTCGGTGCACATCCCTGTAGCTAGAGCTTTGCACACGTCTTTAATTAGTTCCCTAGGATAAATTCCAAGCAGTGGAGTTGCTGGGTCAAAGGGTATTCACAGTTTTAAAAGCTTTTAACATGTGTGGCCAAATGGAGTGTACAGAGTTTTACATGACAAGGGCTCTGGAGGGCTTCCTGTGTCTACGGTCAGGATGGGCCCTTCCAGACAGTAACCACATCCTCCCCCCCCCCCCCCACAGCACCCAGAGGACAGGCTACTGTGCTCTCTGAAGTCTGCCTCCAGTCCACTCACCCAACAGGGGGGCTTTTCTCCAGTAACCATCCCGGACCTCCACGTAATCATACCAGCACAGGCGGCTCTTGAACAAATCCATGGATGTGAAGTTTAGGATAATCTTAAAAAAAAAAAAGAAAAAAGTTACCATCAAATGAGTTTGGGCAGCAAAGCCCGAGGAACTCTGAGAACACCACCTTGCATTCTCACGTTACCCCTTAGCATACAGAGCCCTTGGCCCCTCGGTAGGAGCGTCTTCTCAAAATACACACACAGGAAACCTCATGACATTAAATAATAAACCTTGGGCGGGATAGGGAGTAAACAGAAGGAGATGGGTCCTTTCGTTCTGTCTGGGGAAATCATTCAAGTTTTTGAAGTCACTAGGTAGTTTACAGAAAGCGAGATGCATTAAAAAAGACAGGCCAACGCGTGTTGAGACTGGGGATCTGGACGGAGGGAAAGGGTCAACAAGGTTCAGAGATACGAGAAGATCTTATAACATCATCAATCATTCCAGAGGGTCTGGGGTTAGTCTGAGTGCATCAATATCCCCTCAGCCATGACCACTCTTCTGATGTGTGATATGTCTAATAGCCTTCCTACCGCTAGCTAGCTAGCTTCCCTCACCCCCCCCCTCCCTGCCTCCTTTCTTTCTCTCCCCCTCACCTCCCTCCCTTCCCTTCCTTCTTTCCTTCTGTATTACTTTGAGCAACTACTGGGTGCCAGTCTATTTGGAGCAATCTAGGAAGATCAGTCAGACAGAGTCCTGGTTTTTAAGAAAGGTCAGCAAAAAAGGAAAAGGCAAATGAGATAAGCCAATGAGGAGACCACAGAGTAAATGCCGAAAAGAGAGGGTAGGAGTGGGGTGGGGCCACAGGAAGAGCCTCTTGGCAGTCCTGAGAAGAGAGAGAGAAATTCTGTCTGATAATCTTGCATAAATAAACTTCTCAGAAGAGGTAACATTTAACCTAGGGAATTAGGAACTCCATGGTCCCGGAAGCAGGGCTAGAGAGTGACATGAATTGTGGGAGAGCTAAGCTAGGCACCCAGTGCAAGCCACTGTGTGTGTCTAAATGAAGGTCAGAAGGACCAAAGAGAAAGCCAAGGCCAGGGAGATGGAGTTCCACTGTCTGGGACAACTTCAGTGTGGTTGCCTCTGTGGCTAAATAGTGAGCATCAATAGAAGAGGCTACATGGGCCTACAGGCTGGGAGTCAACACACAGGTGCTGCAGGCATGAGCTGGCCTTCGTTTTCTACCGCACTCCAGCCTGGAGCTTACTTGGCAGATGGCCCGGGGCTGAGTCAGGGTTTCCCCTTGCCCCTCATGCCCCATTCTGCCTGGGCTCAGCATGCCCCGGCTCCATCATTTCTGCTTTCTAGCGCCATCCCACCTCTCATCCAACTCCTTTCCAACTCCAGGGGCTTTGTCTCAGCAATTCCTCAGTCTCCAGAAGCTCATCTCCACTGACCACTTCTTTTTTATTTTCTTTTTTTGCCAGTCCTGGGGCTTGAACTCTGGGCTTGTACACTATCCCTGAGCTTCAAGGCTAGCACTCTACCACTTGAGCCACAGCGCCACTTCGGCTTTTTCTGTGTATGTGGTACTGAGGAATCAAACCCAGGGCTTCATGCATGCTAGGCAGGCACTCTATCACTAGGCCACATTCCCAGCCCCAACGGACTACTTTTATACTCAAACAGCTTCAGGGATCCTCTGGCTTGAAGCAAACCCTCCAAGTGGAGGAGCTTCAAATTAAAGGTCCTAAAGAATTCTACAGGTCTGAGGGGTGGTTCTTTGTCCCCTGGCTCCTGGACCCCTCTGCTCTCAACCTGTCCTTCCTGGCTGCCACCACTGGCCTGCTCTCTATCTCTATCTGTCTGTCTGTTTCTCTCCTTGGCTGATTCTTGTTTACTTTACTCCTTTGCTAACTGCAAGGACACCTCAAGATCTAACATTTTTCATTCTGTCTACCTGGCCAAAGGAGACCTTCTGCCCCCATCCCTGAGGTGCCCATCTTTGGCTTTATCCCTCCCTTTATCCTGTAGTTGACTTCCCCATACCTGTCCAACACCCACACCCATGGCTCTTTGCCCTTTAAGGTGTTAGTGCTCCACCCCCACGCAGGCCCCCTTCCTGATCACTACAGTGAGATGATGTGCCCATCTGTCCTGCACACCAGGGGTTCTGGGTCAGTCTTCTGTATCTTGAAGCACATGTTCACCAATTACTGCTTCCCCCCCCACCGCCCCCACATACACACCATGCTGTCCTCTGTGGCTCTGTGCCCATCTCAGAAGTTAAATGTTCTGTTTCTCCCAGAGCCTCCAGGACAAGCCTCTGTCCCTTGTTTGGCAATGTTACCTGATACACCTTCCTAGGTGTCTATGTCCTTAGGCCTGTCTAAGTGCCCCTCGTCTTGAGTCCTCTGACTGCCCAATGGACACATTGCATATTCAACACTTTGGAGCAACCCCCCCTCCCCGCACTGTCTCTTGTAGAGATTCTGAGCAGGTGTCTTTAGAGTCAGGCATATCTGGATTTGTTTCTCAGTTCCATCTCTTACTAGCTCTGAAATCTTAGTGGAATGCTTGACTTCTTGGACCTCTCCTCCTCTGTAAAATAATGTGCATAACATTCACTGAGTTGAGAACAGCATGAGAATGTACACAGAATGCAAGAGGCTATGCCTGGCACAAAGTAGGCACTTCATACATGCTCACTTTAAACACTAGGCCTTGTTGAGTGTGCAAATAGTGTACCATAATTAACCAACTACTCCTCATAGCTGCCTGTCTGGAATGGTCTCTAGAGTACCTATTCCTTCCTTTGAGCCTATCCCACCCAGTAGCCAGGTCCATGTCAAGTAGCTTCTTCCACAAAAGCCTGTGATCTCCTAGAAATGGTCAGTGAGTACCAGAGACTGCGGACAGCTCCCCTAGAGAAGGAGGAGTGGTTGTGCTCATGTGATGTCACCCCCCTTCCAGCTGGACTAGTGTTTACAACTCTACTTGTAAAAGAATCACCCTGGAAGCTTTAGAACAAAAGCTGGTACCACACAAATACCTATCCTTCCATTAAATCAGATTCCAGGGGAGGGAAGGCCAAGACCACACCAAATGGGAAGTCTCTTTGTGTTGCTTTTGTTTTTTGTGATAGGGTCTTGCTATGTAGTTCAGGCTGGCCTCGAACTCATGATCCTTCCTATCTCAGCTTCCCTAATGCTGAGATCACAGGCGAATAGCTGGCTTATAGTAAGTCTCTTAAAGATGGGGCCGTACCTTGGTTTCTTCTGCAACCCTCATGATCCTATAATCTGGTGACCAAGCTCAGTGATATTTCTAAGTTGGTTGCATGATAACTTCTTTAATATAAAAATTTAATTATTATTAAGGTATTGTACAGAGGGGTTACCATTTCATAAGTCAGATAATGAGTACATTTCTTTTTGGGGGGCAATGTCACCCTTTCCTTCAATTTTCCCCAGATGGTAATTCTTTAGTCTTTGCTTTTTTTAAATTACAGAAAAGAAATGTTAATACAACTTCCTTAGTAACACATTCATGATCTGAATGAGAGAGATAATTATTCATGCTAATTAATTTAAGTGTGTTCATGAACCATAAAGACCATAGATGTGTGATGAATGAGAGGTGATACTTAAATCAATCAAGTTTGCTAATTACAAATAGCTTGGGGGAAGGCCGGGTGAAGCAGAAATTGGAATAATTGGTGCAGAAATCTCAATAATGTATATTCTCCCTGCCCCCACTGAGCACTAATCATTTAAACTTGGTGACACTTACATGGTTCAAACATATTACACAGTCAACAACTGGGGGATAACCAGACCCTGTTCTTCTTTCTCCTCCTTCCTCCCTCCCTTCCTCCCGTTAACACCTTCAGCAGGAACAAGGTTATCACATCCACGCAAGGCAAAAGGTCTGAAGTCTTAAATCAAAAACCACACTGTCTTAAATGCTTACAGCCAAAGAAATGGAGTAAGAAAGTGTGTGTGTGTGTGTGTGTGTGTGTGTGTGTGTGTGTATGTGTACATGCAGATGTGTATGTGAAAATTATAAGCAAACATCTATCTACTAGCTGCTCCCCTCTGTGCAGTAATGTAAGATCATGATCTATTCAAGCCATTAGGTTCTCAATTGCTTAGGTTCAAGTCCCAACTCTGCAATGAACTTTCGTAGCCCCTAGCAAGTCTGTTTTCTTGCTACTAAATGAGTATGGCAGCAGTATGGTCTGCACATGAGACCAGTGTGAGGATTAAATCCAATGATCTGTGCTTCCACACTGAAGATAGAACCGAGTCCTCAGAAAAAGCTCACAATTGTTCCAAGCCATTTCCCTCTAGTTACCACACTGGGCTTAATGACACTTAGATGGACACAGTTTTTAAGTTATCAACTAGAAACACCTGTGACTACAGTGACTACAGCACCTGCTGTGTATCACTTGACCTTCTTACATCCACATCTCCATTCAGAAATGCTCATTGGGTCACTGTGCTGTGCCATGGACCATGTGGGGTGCTGGGGCTGAGGGGGAACAATCTCTGTCCTTAGTGAGTTTAAGCATTAGAAGATGGAGAAACACACCAGTAGACACTGAGATATGCTGCAAAGGTATGATTGTAAAGAGCTCTGGTCTTGCCTAGACCCAAGCGAAAGACAGTTTCTTAACGATAGCTGCATATCATTTGACACAGCTTGAGAACACTTGGAGTTGCAGATACACATAGCAAAAAGATCAATGTAGGAGTACAAAGCCCAGATTCCCCATTCTAAGTTCTCCATCTTGTGATAAAGTTCGGCAATATTCTCAATGTCAGAGCCTCATGCACAGAATGTATATGAGCATACATTTTGAATTGGGGTTGAGAATGTGCCACCCCTGCATCAGGACTAAGACATCCTGGCCCAAGCTGTTCTAGAGCACCATTGAATCTTCAAGGCCAAAGAGCATGGTGATACAGAGCTTCCCTGGCCCTTGGACTTCGCTCAAGGGACCAATAACTCCAAATAACTCTGAGCCCACTTGAAGAGCACACACAAGTCTCTACCCTGGATCCAATCTGGCCAGCCTACCTCTGCTGGAGGACAGGCAAGCAACATCTGCTTGCAAGATAGGAGTGAATGTTCAGGAGTGTGGGTTGGGTGTCAACCCAGGCCCTCCTAGAGTCCCAGATAGGGATATGGAGGCTGGGGAAAGGCAGGCCACCTGGAAGAGCAGTGCTCTCAAGGTGTCAATAAATTCTAAGTTGGACCTGCCCTCCAGGACCTGGTACACATATCAAAGTAGGCGGATGGTGTTCACTCTACCTTACAAATGGTTCACATGATTCATAACTTACATGCTCATTTAGTGCATACCAGGCCTCTATTTATATGGATGAGACTGATTGAGAGGCACAGAAATTAGGAATTTCCCAGAGAGGTTCCCATTTACCTTTACAAAAATCACTCATTATTGTTATTTAATTTTGTATTGTCAGGGTCTCCATCTGTGCATACCCCATGCAATGATCAAGTCTGAGCAGTTAATGTGCCCACCTACCTTCTCTCCAGGAGTGACTGAGACCCTCCAGACACAGTGGGAGTAAGAAGGGTAGCCATTTGGGAAACCAGGTGCTGAAAAATTTCCTGTTGTGTCTTGCAGGGTCTCTCCACATGCTGCACAAACAAAAGAACAACTGTGATACCGGCACATGCACTTGATTCCTTCCTGAACTGCCCCTGCCCCTGCCCCTGGCCCTGGGCTGCTGGGTCAACCTCAGAATGGCTGGTGAGAAATGAGCCCCGCAGGTGGATGTTTTTCTGACTAGCACAAGTGAAAGTAACATCAACACTCCCAGGTTCTGCAGAAGTCTCGGATCTCAAAGCCTGGGCTGGGTTTGGAGCTCAGCTCATGGCTGGTTCTGTGACATGTGCTGGGTGTTAGTCTGCTTCTCTGAGAAACAGGTAGAGCCAACTAAAGGCCTAGAGGGTGAGTAGAGTCACCTGAATTGGACAATGCAGATATGCTCAATGCGGCCTTTATGATTACTAATAACAACAGCGACTGATCACAGTAAGAACACTGAAGGCAGGTCAGTGAGGAAAAACCAAACAAACCAAACCAAACCATGTTGAAATTCCTTCCTTCCCTCCTTCCTTCCTCCCTCCCTCCCTTCCTTCCTTCCTTCCTTCCTCCCTCCCTC